CTGAACACAAGACTAAGTTGCGACAACGAGATCAACCCACTTCTATAAGTCGAAATGAGACTGCGACCATACCCGAGGCCACTACATCTTGGTCTTAACATCTTCAAGAAACTAAAGAGTTCTAATATGGTGTTCCGAATGGCGAGACTCACTGCCGGCGAAACGTCTGGGAATGTACCACGTTCACGGTCCGACTTTGGAAATGATGATGCATACAATGGACTACGAACTAGGTGCGTTCCTCTAAGTCTCCCTACCAATATGACCATGTTGTGAAAACAAGGTCAAACAACTTCTATACAACGAAAGGAGACTGCGACTACACAAAAGGCCACACCATTTCGGTCTTCATACCTTCAACGAAATAATGCTGACGAATGTGGAGAAAATAAGCATCACCAAGTATCGAGCTGAAACCTCCATATACTGAAGCAATGATAGAACTGATTGAAAAGCATGGCATGAAACGAGCGACTGTGGAAGACGAGCATATTTTCTTTCGTATCATCTGCCACAATCCATCCTAAAATGGCTTGTTCGCCTTGTTTTATTGCGTTCAGCAAGATATACTAAACAAATTCACGCGTAATCCATTGCATTTTACTCAAAGCACAACTTTGCTATATCAATTAGAGGTGGGTTGATAGGAGAAAGGGTATAGTTTATCTGCAGGAAAAAGCATCTCTTACTTATGAGCCAGATGTGAGGCCTTCTCAGTCGTTTTGAAGATGACCTGATAGTGCTCCCAGGCCCGCTTTCCATCGCGTTCCAGGCGCTCCAACTTCAGGGCTAGCTCGTCCCAGTCGACGCGGTGGCAGCGACAGAGTGCCCCGAGGTCGGAGTGAAGATCTACATGAGTTAAAATATGAAATAATGTGAACTAGGGGGATAACAGGCGAAACTGACAAGTCGTGGTGATAGAGTTGAGAGATGCGCCGTATTTCCATCAACAAAAATCAGCATTTTAACTTTTCAGTCTAATCTAAGTGATATCCAAGGTCAGTTGCAAATCTCAGTGGGAATATAGGAGGTATGGCTCTTAACTTGCCCAGGGCCGCTTCACTAGGGCGAGGTAAGGTGCAGATTCGAGGAGGATGTCGAACCTCAATGCCAAAACAATGTCAAGAAAGAGAAATATGGATGGTTAGAATCTCACCGGAGGGGTTGATGAGAAAGATGAATGGGGATGGGATGAGAAGCGGAAAGATTTCAACACATAATCAAGTCCTTCATCCAATTAAACAGGGGTCCCATTCGAAGATGGAGGAGTCGGACGCCCGAATGCCAGTCTCACTAATTCGGCGTATAATTTTGAATGGCTAATAGAGCAAAACGCTTTTAGAATGCGTAAGGCATTATTAGGAAGAGTACTTTCACTTTGAAAGTATATCTCCATATCACACCATCCTCGCCCCTTGAACATAACGAAGTCGGTTTGTTTGGGTAAAAGTGTGGAAAATCAGAGGTTAATGTCTTGTCGGAAGGGTTGCCATGAGCCTTAGTCGTGCCCCATTTCATTGAAAAAATAACCAAGAGTATCCACAATGTGAATTTAAAGCAGCATGAGCAAAGGATCACTCTTGCTCGTCCAATGCCGCATGACCATATGATTCTTCTATCAGAGACGCTCTGACGCTAGCCAAAAGTGGCTAATTTGTCCTGTCCCTCAAGGCGGTTTTCGGAGGACCTACCAACTTCGCTTTGCTCATATTCTTGTGGTGACATTCGTTTTGTCTGAAAGTGCCCAATGAAGAGGTTTGTAGGCCAATCTCACAAAAAGGAAAATGGCTCATTTCCATTCTTCAACAGCCATTTGATGTCACTGTAGCATTCTGACTGACTATGAGGCATCCTCCTGTTGCGCTTGTTACTACGAGTTTAGCTCTTGCTTGTACTACCACATGCTGTAAATTGTCGGAACTGCATAGCTAGCACCGGGTCAAGAAGATTAACGGGCCGAATATACTCACAGAAACAACATAAAGAGAACAGAAAATGTATAGATATATATAGAATGTAACGCTAAGTACATTTATATTTGTGAGTGCGTGTCCAGTTGCAAGACCACCAATCAGAGCCTGGAGTAATCAGATGAAAGCGTAGAGTCAGTACGGGGTCATCAAGGTTTAATGCATGAAGGAAAGGCATGGCTTGATCGAATAATCTCCAACGCACATCCGATTAAGTTGAAAAGTCAAGGAGATGTGCATAGAGGGCGAACATAGTTAGTTATACTAAATGTATTCACCCTATTTTGTCTAAGGGGCTGAAGGGCTGGTGCTGAATTTTCCCACAGTGATATGAGTAGAGCCGACGTTTCCATTGAATTTCACACAGCCTTGCTTTCCCAGAAGTTGTTCTCGTCCAAAGACGACTGCAGTTTCGACCTTGGCTTGATGAGACCTATGCGAGGTTCAAACTGCCGTCCATCCTGGATGAAAACCACTTTTGGGAAAGCAAGGCTATGTGAAATTGAATGGAAACGTCAGCTCTATTCATAGAATTGTGGGAAAATTCTGCTACCAGTCCTTCATCACCTTAAACGAAATAAGGTGAATAAATCTCATATTACTGAATTATTGTTAGTTTCGAGACTCTGCTAATAAACAAATGTGGTTAGAGCCGCCGAGTCAACTAGTTAAGCCGCCTTTGTTTTGTAATTGGGTCAACGCCCTATCCCTTCTCAACTCTATCAACCAAGCTTAGGGAAATTTAAGATATGAAGGCCAAGATGATATTATCTTTGGCTTAGTCGAAGTCTCCTTTCATTGCCTAGAATTGGCTTGATATCGTCTTCAAAATTGATTCGTGTTCTTAATTCAACTTCGAGGCATTCATCCAGTACTGCCTTCTCTGTCACTGTTGACATGTCTTCTTCCTGCAGAATACCGTTTAATTGATACAATTCTAACTGTCACTGAGTAGTACCGGCCTTAGCACCGAGTTACAGTTCGGCAAAGTGACAAGTGAAGTCGGTAAGGCTATTGTAAACTTACCAGGATCCATTCGAGGTATGTCATGTGAATATTCATTTGAGTGTGGCAGACACGATGGATAAAGTGCCAAAAGGGATTAAGAAGCCTGTATGATGGAATTGGATACCAACGAAACCGATAATCACACTAGAAAGGATGCATACTTGGAGGTCATCGCAGCAAATGAAGGGACGAAATCTAGAGTGAGAGTGAGGGCTGTTCGACGATCAAGGAGATCGAATTTACTAACCAATGAGGGTCTGTAGCTGTCTGATGTTGGCAAAATGTCTGAAAATGCAGCCAATTAAATGCCCGATGCCGGAAGAAAGCGAAGAAGAGGAGGTATGGAAATACTCCCCAAAGTCACTCTGAGGGCATGAATAGTCTGAAAATTTAAGATCAAACCAACACTAAAAGTAATGCTTTCATCAGCACTAACTTCTTACGTACGACCTCACCCATGTTTCTCGGGCCCTCTTCGTGGGACTCGAACACGACATCAAATCGACGAAGCCATTTAAGCGACGAAGCATGTCGCCCAAATACACGATATT